AGGTACAGGGCTGGCAGGGCCAGCACCCCCAAACGAGCCTGCTGCGCTGCCCCACTGGGGGTCCTCTGTTTCCTCACCCCACAGCAAGGTGTCCCACTGCAGGGTCCCTATGGCTCATTGCCCCACGCTAGCCTGCTCTGTACCACCTTGGGGTCCTCTGTCCCCTCACCCCTTGCCAGCCCCCTGCAAGCGCTGCACACAGGGTCCCTGTGTGTCCCCCCCCCAACCAACGCACCACTCTCTCCCTGTCCCAGCGACTCTGGTGACCGCAAGCAGATCTACAACATCCTGACGGCCTTCGAGCTGCTGCCCTCGGGGACAGACTGTGACATCGTGCGGATGGTCTGCGAGAGCGTCTCCACCCGTGCTGCCCAGATGTGCTCGGCCGGGCTGGCCGGCGTCATCAACCGCATGCGGGAAAGCCGGAGCCAAGAGACCCTCAAAATCACCGTGGGTGTCGACGGCTCCGTCTACAAGCTCCATCCCAGGTGAGGATTCCCCAGGAGCCTTCCTCCCACTGCCGTCCCCTTCCTGCTCCTCCTGTGTCCTCTGAGCCTTGACCCCCATTTATTTCCCCTTCGGCAGCTTCAAGGACCGTTTCCACGCCACGGTTCGGCAGCTGACGCCCGGCTGCGACATCACCTTCATCCAGTCGGAGGAGGGCAGTGGGCGTGGGGCCGCCCTCATCTCAGCCGTCGCCTGCAAAATGGCCTGCATGATGGGGCAGTGAGAGAGGACTCGGGGGAGGATGAGGATGATGATGGTGGGGGGGAGCGGGAGGACAGTGGTCCCGCTCAGAGCTCTGCGAGGAGCAGAGACAGACGCGGGATGGGATTTGCCGCTGGCAGAGGCAGCTCCCGGCTCCCCAATAAACGGGGTTTGTGTGGACTTCTCCTCTGGGGCCGCTTGAGTGAGAACTCTTCGTCTTCCTCCTGCTCGCATGGACACCCCCTGCCCTGGGGCTGCCCCACACGTGTGGGGCAGCTTGGAGTCTTCCCGGGCCTCCGCAGCCCCCTGCATCCTCACCCAGGCACCCCCCAGCCCCTTCTCTGGGGATGAGCCTCCCCCGGGGGGGATGGCTAAGAGATAAGGGGCTGGTTGGGGCGCTGGGGAGGGGGCAGGCCAGCCCCCACCAGTGAGCCCAACCAGGGACCAACGGTGCGCCAGAGGTGTGCCAGATGTGATGGGGATTTTTGGGGATCACCTCCAGCCCTGTCCCCACACCAGGGACAGGGCAGAGGGGCAGAGCCTGAGGGCCACCCCGCCCTCCCCTTCCCAGTGCTGACCCCCCCAGAAAGGGGGCACAGACCCCCGCCACCCCACTCCCACCAGCAGCAGCACCCCAAGACCCAGCGGGTCCCATCCTGCCCCAAACAGGGGGCACAGGAGTGCCCCACCTGGGCTGTTTCATGCTCTGGGTTGGCACAGTTCTGCCACCTTCCCCAGCAGCCAAAAATAGTGTCCCTTGCCTCCGGTGACAACCCGGCCTGGCTTGTGTCCGGCACAGCCTGGCAGTGTCGGCACTGAGTTTGGCTCGGCCACCCGCGTCCACTGCCGGATTTAGCTTGAGGAGGGGGGAATAAAAAACATGGCACCCCGGGGACCCCCAGCCCAGACCCGCAGTGGGGATGGTGACTGCAGCCAGGGACCCACCCAGGAGCCAGGGATGGGGCACCCCAGAGTGTGGGGATGCTGCAAGGAGGACTGGTGGTACCCCACCATGTCGGGTGCTTCTGGAGGTCTGGGGACAGCCCAGGGATTATGATCACCCTGAAGGTTTGGGGCACTCCAGGGTGTCAGGGTCCCTCTGGGGTGTTGGGCTCCCCAGAGGGTTCGGGGCAGGGTTTTGAAGTTCCCCAGGGGAACCTGGGATCACCCCTCAGTGTTGGGGTCCTCCTGGGGCACTCCAGTGTATTGGGGGCCCTTTGTGGGGTCCCCAGTTTGCTGGGGTCCTCATTAAATGCTGGGACACCCTAGGGATTTGAGTCCCCCACAGGGTCTGGGGCAGGGTGTTGGGGTTCCCTGGAGGGTCTGGGGCACCCAAAGATACTGGGGTCCTCTGGAGAGTCTGGAGTGTTGGAGTCCGTCTGGGGATGTGGGGGTACCCCAGGGTTTTGGGTCCCCGTGAGGGTCTGGGGCACCTCAGGATGTTGGAGTCCTCTGGGGGTCTGGGGCACTCGATGGTCTTGAGGTTCTCCTGGGGCACCCCAGAGCATTGGGGTCCATCTGAGGGTCTCAAGCACCCCAGGGTGTTGGGGTCCTCTGGGTATGTGGGAGCACCCCAGGGAGCTGGTGTCCTGGAGCACCCCAAGATGTGTTCCCTCTGAGGGCCTGGGGCGCCTCAGGGTGCCGGGGTCACGCCGGGGGTATGGGGGCACCCCAAGGTCTGGGACCCAGTCAGGCTGTTGGAGTCAGCCCCAGGGCTGGGGGGCCACCCCATGGTATGGGCCATCTTGGGGGTCTGGGGACATCCTTGGACATCTGGAGCCACCATACAGGTTGGGACCACCCCAGGGGGTCTGGGGCCACCCTGGGACATGGGGCGCCCCAGAATCTAGGAACATCTCAGAGTGTTGGGTAACCTTGGTGGTCTGGGGCTACCATGGGGTTTTGGGGCCACCCCAAAGTGTGGGGTGACCCCTGGGCTGAGGGGCTGGGGACGCTGGGGAGGGGTAGCCCCAGGGTCTGGGTCACCCCAAGGGATGGGGACATCTCAGCAGTGCTGCTGTGAAGGCCCCGGCAGCCCCAGGATCCCTCCAGCTTATTGGAGGAGGGGAAGGGGATCCCTTTTGCTCCGATTGGCTACAGTCAGTAGGGTTCCCTGTGCTCTGATTGGCCACAGCCCTCAGCCAGCTGAATTCCCTGTTCTGATTGGTTGCTACCAGAAAGACATCCCTGAGCTCTGATTTGTGGCAGCCCTCAGCTGGTAGGAATCTGTTCCAATTGGCCAGAGCCAAACAAAAGGGATTCCCTTTGACCTGATTGGCTGGGACCATAAAAAAAAAAAAAAAAAAAAAAAAAAAAAAAAGAGGATTCCCTGCACTTTGATTGGCTGTCGTCAAACAAAAGGGATTTCCTGTCCTCTGATTGGCTGGGACTAAAATGGAATTCCCTGCATTCTGGTTGGCTGGGGCCAAAAAGAAGTGGATTCCCTGTGCTCTGATTGGCTGGGGCTGAACCCAGAGCAGGGGGGTCCCAGGGTGTGGGGTCCCAAGGCTTGTACCCCCCTGTGCCCCCCGCTCTGCCCCAGGCCATCAGCCACACTGGGCAGAGCCAGGACGGGAGCTGAGGGAGAGCTGCTGGGTCAGCGGGGCATCACCTGGGGACATCGGTGCAGGGACAGGGACAGGGGACAGGGGACAGTGCCAGTGCCGAGTGTGGGACTGTGACAATGACAAGCATGGGGACAGCACCAGTCCAGTCCAAAGCATGGGATGCAGTGATGCCAATTGCAGGGACAGTGACATGGCCAAGTGTGGGAGAGTTGGTGAGGCCAGATGTGGGACAGTGACAGTGCCACGCTGGGGATGGCGATGATGATCCCAAGCACAGGGAGTGACAATGCCAAGGGGGGGAATGGTGACAGTGCCAAGACCAGGGCAGCGACAGTGCCAGTGCCAGTGCCAAGTGTGGGGACAGATGCGATGCCAGGCATGGGGAAGTGACGGTGCCGAGTGAGGGGCAGTGACAACCAGGACCACCTGCATGTGTGGAGGGAACCACTCAATTTATCTCCTGAGGCACACCCCACCACGCTCCAGCTGGCACCTCTGGTGGCACCTCTCCTTCCTGGGCTAGGCTGTCCCTGGTGCCACGTGGCCTTGTCACCATGTCCCCCCCAGGGAAGACAAACACGAGCAATGAGGAGCAGGAGGAGATGCTGTGGCGAAGCATTAAGGGGCCCATTAACTTCAACATCTTCCTGATGCTCTTTGGGGAGAAGCTGAACAGTGAGCGGCCCTGGGTTCCCCCCAGCACCCCGTGACACCCCCCAACACCCTGTGACACCCCCCAACACACCAGGGGTCATCCCCAAACCCCACCTAATGCTCCCCCCAGGCACTGACCCCAAGGAGTCGCCATCCTCAAGCTCTTGGACCCCACTGGCACTGTGAAGAAGGACAAGTGAGCGGGGGGTGACAGGGACCCTCGGGGGCCCCAGATGGATCCTGTGTCCCCCAGGAAGGGGACAGGAGCTGACCCCTGGCTCAGTGGGTCCCTCTCCCTGCGGGTAAGTTCTCCCCAGGCGGGTAAGTTCTCCCCGGAAGGAGGTGAGGTGGTTCCCCTGGCTGTCACTGTCACCATGACGGTCCTCTGCCCATCCTCTCCCCACCCACATCCCTGCATGAGGGAAAACAATGTCCTCAGGTGAAGCAGGTGCCCAGGACACGCAGCTCTGCCTGTCCCCGGGGGGAGGGATACAGCTCCTGGCCCCAGCTGCCTGTGTGTCCCCCAGAGACCCTATCCCCAAGGTCCCTGTGTGCCCAGCCCCACCCCTGTAATCCCAAACCCCATCCCTGAGATCCCCGTGTGCACCCTGTCCCCAAGATTGCCGTGTGTCCCCCGCAACTCCTGACCCCAAGATCCTGGACCCGAGGTCCCTGTGTGTGCCCCACAGCCCCCACAGGGACCCGTCCCAGCCCCAGGGGTGCATGTCCCCACACAGGTGCAACACATACTCGCGGTGATGCCCATTGATGTGTCGGGGAACACCGACTACAAGTCCTGTGCTGCATCATCACCCATGGGGACAAGAAGGACTGAGGGGAGAGTGGGTCTCCTGCACTCCGCTGCTTGCTCTGGCCAAAGAAACCACTCAATGAGGGGATCTTGTCCGTCCGTCCATCTGCAGCATCCGCAGAGAAGGAGGTGGCTCTGTTCAGCCTTGGCTTTGCACCCAGTGTCCCCATGGACCTGGCATGTCCACACCATAAGGGACACCTCTCCTCCCCAAAAGGATGGGCTCATGGGGGATGGCAGGGCCACTGTTCCCAGGAGACTTAGAGGTCTGGCACAAGATGCTTTATTGCACAGGGAGGGGGATCCAGGGTTCAGGGTGGCAAGTGGGGCTGGGAGAGGGTTGGGGTTTCAGGAGGTGGCAGTCGGTGCTGAGCCCTGTGGAGACAAGGAAGGAGCAGCGAGTCAGGGGCCACTGTTGCCACATCACCCCTGTCTCAGGTGCCAGCAATAGTAGCTTCCTGTCTCACCCCCAACCTGCAGGACTGCAGTCAGGTTCCTTCCTGGAGGCAGAGGACCCCCAAGTGGCTTCTCACCCCCTGGGGCAGGCGTTGGGTGCGAGATGAGGGGTGCAGAGTGTGGGATATGGGGATGCAGGATGTGGGTTGGTGGGGTACAGAATGCAGAGTGCAGGATGTGGGGTGCGGGATGTAGGGGGCAGGAGGCAGGGTGTGGGGTGTAGGATGCAGAGTACCGCTTGCAGAGCGTGGGGTGCGGGATGTGTGGTATGGGATGTGGGATACAGGACGTGGGCTGCAGGACGCTGGGTGCAGAGTGTGGGGTGCAGGATGCGGGGTATGGGGTGCAGGACATGGGGTGCAGAGTGTGGGGTGCAGGGTGAGTGCTCACTGGGCTCAGGCCTTGCAGAAGCCGATGGCGGCGCAGGTGTCCTGGGGGTCATCTCCGTTCTGCAGCGCCTCGCTGATCTCCGTCTGGTACTTCTTCACCAGCCGCTTACAGACCCGGCCCAGCTTCTTGCCCAGCGCCTGGCAGGCTTTGCCCAGCGCCGCCTCCACTGTCGCCTGTCAGGACCAGCACAGGCATCAGCGAGGCCACCCGTGGTGTGCCAGACCCCCACCCTAGCTCCTCCAGCCCCCCCAGCCCCCCATCACCTCGTCAGGGTCATCGCCTGCCATCGCCTTGATCTGCTTCAGGATTTTGGTGCACAGGCTGCACTTCTTCCCTCTGCCTGGCGCCAACACGTCCCCTTCAGCCACATCCTCTTTGGCCGTGTCCCCCTGCCGGGGGAAAATGCAGACCCTCAGGGCTGTGCCCCAGCGTGGCCCCCAACACAAGCGTGGGGCTGCCCCAAGGCTGGCATCGAGGCAGTGGGGCTGGTGCTCACCATGGCCAGGCTGTCCCAGAGGTCGTGGCAGTACTGCTCCTGGCCGCACTGGGTGGCGGTGGCCATGTCCTGGCACCAGGACATGGGGCCACCCTGGCAGGGATCAGGGTTGGTGGCCTGTGCTGCTGAGCAGGGATGGGGACAGTGAGCGCGGCCATGGGAGCATGTGCCTGTCGCTCTGTGCCCAGACCCCGTCCCCACCATCCCCGGGTGCTCAATCCCACTCAGCATCATCCCCGCCATCCCTCCTGACTGTCCCCATGTCCCCACCACCCTCGGGTCCCCATGAGGACACTTCCCACTATCCCCAGGTCTCCATGCGTACTCCACGCATCCCTGCCATCTCCAGGTGCCTGTCCCATGAAGATCCCATCCCCATCATCCCCATGTGGACCCTGTCCCCCCCATCCCTCCTACTTGTCCCCATGTCATCTTGTCCCCTCCATCCCCAGATGCCTGTCCCCACAATGACCCCATCCCCAGGTCCTTCTCACTGCCATCTTCCTGTGCTTGTCTCCACATGGAACCTGTCCCCACCACCCTCAGGTCCCCACAAGGACCCCATCACCCCTATGTCCCCAAGCAGACCTTGTTCCCACCATCCTTCTTGACCCCTGTCCCCATGTCCTCCTGTCCCCCCATCCCTGTGTGCCATGTCCCCACGGAGACCCCATCGCTTCCATCCCCAGGTCCCCACAAAGACCTTGTCCCCAGCTGCTGTCCCCAAGCACACTGCCATCCCTGCTGTCCCCATGTCCATCTCCACATGTTCACCCCCACCCCAGGGTGACAATCCCCCCGCCAGGACATGGGGCGGCAGAGACCCCCCCTTACCTCCCACCACCACCAGCACCAAGAGGAAGGCAGCAGCCATGGCGAGCCCACTCGAGAGGGTGATAGCAGGTGACAGCCCGTGTCCCACCCCAGCAGCTTTTATAGCCTGCTGAGCGGGCTGTGGGGACGGCCGCACCACTCAGCACTGCCGAAACCCAAAAAGCCCTTAAAATGGAGCGTGTGGGCTCGCCACCCCCCTTCCTCCCTCACACCTCCGCCCTCACGGCAGGAAGGGGGGATGGGGGCCCCAACCCTGCAGCCCCCGGGTCCATCTGGGGCCAAGCGCAGGGGCTGCTGTGGGGGAAGGCAGGTGTGGGGCCAGGCCACTCTGGGCTCTGCAGGGTCCCGGGGGCCTGGCCTGGTGCCCCCCATCCCCTCCCAGGCTCTGGGGGGTCTCAGGGCTTGGGCCCAGCGCCCCGCTGAGGGTGGGTCCCAGTGTCCCCACCGGGGGTCTCGGGGGTGTCCTGGTGTCCCCTGTTCCCCCACGAGTGATGTGGGGTCCCGGGGGGGCTGCTCCCAGTGTCCCCCCCCAGGGGTCAGCCCTGGTGTCCCCTGTCCCCCCCGGGGACTCCATAGGGTCAGTGCCAGCGCCCCCCCGGGGATGGGTCCGGGTGATCCCTGCCCTCCCATGGAACCCTGGGGATCTGTCCCGGTGCCCCCCGGTGTCTCCCTGAGGGGTCAATCCCAGTTCCCCCCGGGGGTCAGTCCCGGTGTCCTCTGTCCCCCCGTGGGCTCCGTGGTGTCCCGGGGTCCGTCCCAGTGTCCCCGTCCCCTCCCGGTTCCCTCCCCC